CACACTGCTTTGCAATGTCAGTTTTCCCTGTGTTGGGTATATCTTTGTGTTCGTACAAGGGGTGACTGATTTATCATGTTTGTGATATATAATAGGATGATCCCCTAAACTAATTTTTACACATGACAAAGACATAGATCTATTGTTCTCTTTGACACTGCATCAAATTTAAAAAAAGAAAACGTACCAATCCTTCACAAAATATTAATTCTTATATAGAAATAGCTTATTAATTATGAGTGCAAGAACATTTGACCCTGTCTGCCACACGCTGAATAATTTTTTATTTACACAAAGTAGGTAATGCTGACAAAATCTAACTAAGCAAATCTTTATTGATTTGTAGGCATCATTTCACCATTTTTTCCCTTTCATAAGTGGTTGATCTGCACTTACATTCATTTTACCCTGGACCTTCTGTGAAAATGTGCCGTATTGTTTATTCAATAAGTATGTATTGATTAACCACTAAACACTCACTTAGATATGCCCTAAGACACGCAAGAGAGTTACTCAATCATTTCTAACTTCCACAAGCTCACAAGCAAGTGGCAGACACAAGGCAAATACTCGTAAAATATGTAAGTGCAGCACACCACGCGTCATTAGCCCGGTAGCACCTTTCCCTTCTTCCTGTGAACTCGCGGGAATCAGGCTGCAGTTTTCCTCCTGCCCTGTTGGGGGCCTAAGGCCCCTCCATTTCAGAGCCCACCTTTCCTACGCACACATCCAGTGCTCCTCTAGGATAGTAGCTGCAGTAATTTCACTCTCCTGCTAGAAGCCAAATAAACATAAACCCCTACGTCATCAAAGGGCCGCCGGCTTCCTTTTGGAATGGGGTCCTCCAGGGCGCCCATCCGCTTCCTCATCTCAGACTTGTTCTCCACATGATCCTCCCCAAATCATTCATTAGGCTTGATTTATTTCCCGTTCCTCATGCTGTTTTCTCTTCAAGGAATAATCAGCTCATCATTTTAGAATTTTATCATACTCCAAAAGCGATCTTAATTCTACTTTCACAGAGATGCAGTCTGACACCAGGAACTGTACAGAAGACTAAGCCTTATATTTTGTCTCTTGTTAGACTGAAGTCCTTAGTCAAAACTTATATTTTACTACTATTTCTGTACACTTTAGAACTGAATATATTTTGTACATAGACCATTCTTAGCAAGTATTTATGGGATAAAACCAAAGCTATCTGAATTAAATGTAGGACAAAAAGTACCTTTATAGAATAAACTATCCTAAGATTAATTTGGATAAGGCCTTGGACAGGACTTTGGACTTATGGACAGAAAAATGTGGCACAGATTTTCAGATGGAAATTTTTAGAAATGAGACACTTAAAAACAATTTTCAAAAATCACAAAACCCAGAAATTCTGATTTTCAGAATTCTGTTTTCAACAATTATAAGATATAATTGGCATGAAATAGGAAAAAAAGTCATGGCATTTACATCCATGTGCTCACAAAGCAGGACTTACTGATCCTAAAAAGAATCATTAAAAACTAAAGACAAAGACAAACCAACTCTTGCATTTTCAATTGGTCAAATATACTTTGTTTTCCACAGGAAATATTGGACTAAGTTCATTCGCGTTTCTATGAAAGCACTGTTGAAGATTCACAAGTGATTATTTCAAACAAGAATCTTAAATTATAATAATCCTTACTATACAAGAATATTTGTATTTGTCATCAGTATCTCTTAATGAAATGATAGGTAGTCTTACAATTCAACATATTGGATTATCTGTTACATGTACTCCTTTATATTTGCATATCAGTATCACATTGGATGAATGACAACATATACTACACTTCTATTTTCTTTTCATACTCTTTCTAGAAAAGGATAATTTCAATATGAAATTGTTTAAAACTAAATATATGTAACAAAAATAAAGTTTTTGAACTGAACTTCAATGTCATTTAAACATTTTTTATTAATAAAATATGACATTGTTTAATGATTTGCTAAAATCTGAAAAAAAAAATTTAACTGAATGTTATATCTAACCATAAAGATGATACTATTGTATACTATGCTCTTTGGCTCAATATAGTAGTCTAGAAATTGATGTTTTTTCCTGGGTTCCCAATGGAAAAGCTATAAACAGGATTTTGAATAATGTGTGTGGCTCAATGTTCTAGTTAAGGAGAAAGGCTTCCTACTAGGATAAGTTAAAAATAAATTTTATTTTCTGTCTACTTTTATATGCAGGACACTGATGTGAAGAAGCAGGTGTGGCAGGCAGAAAATACCTGCCTCTTAATTCTTGGAGTCTATAAATGTGTCACATGACACGGGGGACCTTGCAGATGTGATGAATGTCTGAGCCCAGAGAAGGGGAGATTTTTACTCATGGGGGGCCGGGCTAAGCCAAGGCATGAATGCCTGTGGTTGGAGAATGGAAGCAAGCGGATCTTTCCACTTGGCTCCAGAAAGGAAGGCACATCAGGCTTTGAGGCAAACTATGATGTTTTAAGATACTGAATTTGTGTGTGTATGGGGGGGAGGGTTAGAGCACATATAGAAAGTTGATATGCCAGACATTTGATAGTTAAAAATGTAAAAGATGTAAAATGTAAAAGATGTAAAATGTAAAATGTAAAAAATGTAAAAGAATGTAAAAATGTAAAAATGTTTATTAACATTTTCAAAACACAACTATGTAAGTGTTCTTAGGAACCAAAACCTGAAGTTTCCACAAGGAATTAAAATTTTTTTCTAATGACCAGCTTAAAATACCAAAAATGATGATTAAAAAAAAGTGTCCATTAGTAGTACAGGGAGCACAGTTGAGGCTGAGGGACCACTCCCCCCGCCCCATATGAATTTGGGCAACACCCCAGGGCCAATCATTCTTCCATTGTTCTAAGAGAAGAAAAATAAAATCACAAAGACCTTTGAAATCTTGATAGCTCCAGCCCAGAGCATGCATGAGTCAGATCTCCTGGCTTCACCTTCAGTAATCTTTTCCCCACTCGAACCTTGTTAAAGGTTCACACGTATGGACTGCATCCCACTATGTCATTCACTGTCCAGGCATGTCTGGAAAGTCCTGCGATGACTCAGCATCCAGTCAATCATTCCTGTCAGTCTTATCCAGTGGTCCAGCCAGAGGTTCCTGGTCTGAAAGCCTGATTTATCTTTGTGCTTTTTATTTTTTTGGCATCTTCACACCACTTTTCTTTTCACGGTCTTTCTTGTTTCTGCTGGCACAGACCTGCCCTGAACATATGTTTCCCTTATCTTCAATAAATGTAGCTGGGTTCTTTTTACCTTTGGGTGCAGTTTGTTCCCCATACACAAGAGCCTGAACCTTATCTGTCAGATCCACTAAGCAGTATCACAGCAGTATCCATCTCTTTTTAGAAAATTCCTAATTTTTAGAAAATTTGTGGATTACTTACCTTTGAATCGCAGTGTATGACTACAACATGCTTCGACACAATTTTTCTACTTAGAGCATAACACATACATAGTAGCACTCAGTAAATATAGTATTTGTTCAACATACAGAAGCAATAATATGAGTAAAGATTCAAAAGGAACAACCTGGCAATCACTATCACCACCTTTAGAATTCTAGAAGCTGTGATGTTTCTAAAAGCAGTAAAAATCACTGTTGATCATAATTTCCTGCAGGAACATAAGTGATACAGAAAAACCACCATGATGTCAAAAGAACCCTAAGGTGCCTTTGAAACATTATCCAATTTCAGACTTTCTTCTTTGTTTCTTCATAAATAGCACAATGGAGACCATGAAATAAAACCTACCACCTGAAAATGTTCTGTTAATACAATATTAAACTGACAGTAACAACTTTTAGATTAACTCATCTATAAAATTTATGACGGTATAACCATCCCAAATACTGTGACTGTAATTAGCAAAACACTGACAAAGGAAAAAACAGAAAAGGAGCTATTTTGAATTTTTAAAATTGTTTTCTTTTTAAAAGCCCTTGTCTATATTCAAAAGTTCAATATATTTAAATTTATTTTGGTAAAACTTAAACAAAAGATGGTAAAAAGATGAAGACAGCCTGACGGCAAAAAGTTAAATGCTTCCACTTAAAAACTAAAAACAAGACAATTTAGCAATTTAACCTAGGAGATCAGCTATCTAGTTCCGGTCTAATTCTATAATGCTGCCCTGGGTGAGTAGTCTTCAATTTAAAGTTAAATGAAGAAAAAACAAATTTATGAAAAACAGCAGTTTTTAGGATAAAATTTATCTTAAATGTATACAATAAGAAAATGGTTGGACATTTAGTATAATACATTAAACAGATACGACATGAAAGAAAGTTAGTATGAATGAATTTAAACATAGCATGACCTTAGTTCTTTTAATGTAAGCATGGCAAAAAGTTGGGAATCCATATGCTTAAATGAATGATAAAATAGTTGCATAATCTGTAGCAGTGTTGATCATCTTTATTGAATGCTACATGCTTTTTCTGTTTTCCAAATTTGCAACTACGCGCTGGTATTGTATAGGTAGCAAAAGCATTTTGTAATGAAGAAAACTTCTAATGTGAGCAACCTCATCTCTGTCATTCAGCATTTCATACTCTGAACCCATGTGTTCCGTGAAAGCTTCTGAAGTAACGGTCAAACCAAATAATATCAAAGTATGTTAGGTTTGTTCTGAAGAACAGATCACCTTAAGTAATGGAAATCAATCTTAACCAGGAGGAATCTGAGTGCTGGGATAGGTTACATGTAAGTATTTTGCAAGAGAAAGGTCCCACTATTTTTGGCAACTTGTAAGTGCTGCTTTGTTATTTAAAAAAATCACTAATGTTATTCATATTGTCTTAGATGTCCAGGTTCTTCTTCTACACCCAGATCCCACCTTTGCAGGCTTTTAGGATATAAATTCTAAAACTGTGTGGAATTTATTGTAATGATCTATGCAATAGTCTTACATATCACCATAGGTCCAATAAAAAAACAATATATTGGTGGAATTATACTTACTGTGGTAGCGCAATGAATGTCTTTCCATATTGTGGCTTCTCTGGAGAGATCAGAGACTTCAAACAAATTATCAAGAATCACTTCTCCAATCATGTCATGTCTAGAAAATCTGTCAAAATCGTATACACTGAAATGTAGTTTGCGGTTGCTTATCTGATCATATACTACTGGAAACTGAAAAGTTTCATCAAATAGAGGATTTAAAGTCTTTCTGTGCACACGGGTCTGAAATTTCTTTTTCCTGTCTGGAAGAAGATACATCTTCACATATGGATCTGAAGTTCCTGTGAAGTCTTTCGCAGGGAGATCTAAGGCTTTGATAATTTTCACAACTAGAAGCTCATTTTCATAATCATACTGGAGTGTAAAGTTAAGTTTCCCACAGGTTTTGACGTCTTCAGTTCTGTTGCCCTCGGAGTCAACCGATTTCTGTTTGTAGAGCTCTGGTTTTATCCTCCCTATACTGGTTGTTGTTTCTCCTCTTTGTAAAACAGGTTCAGTGCCCATGCTGAAATCCACACTGGACACCTGCATTTGCCTTGGTAGGTGTCTCCTGAAGGAATTGTGTCTGTATACACAAAAAAAATTATTTAAATATATCACTTTGATAACAATATTTTAAAATGGCATACAAACTCTCCCCAATTCCCAGGAGAATGAAAAGGTATCTGCATCTACATAGTTGCACATGCGTGCTCTCTCTCTCTCTCTCTCTCTCGCACACACACACACACACATTTCTACTTTAAAATAACAGAAATTCAATAGTCAAAGAAACCCTCCTAAAACTCTGGAGTTCACACAGATGTACCTATGAGCTTTTGGAATTTTGTATTCTCAATCATAAGCAAATAATTATAAAGACTGCTATAGGGAAACATAATTACCAACAAAATTCAATATTGCACAAAAAATGTTATCTGTCCTCTGGGTATATGTAGATGTAAATAGCACATTGAGAAAGTCATTTCAGTGGCTGGTTGCTTTTTATCTGATTGTGTGGGTCTCATGAAATTCACGTTTTAGTGAGCACTAAATGTGTGTAAGTAATTAAAATATGTTAATTATTCCTAATTCTTAAACAACTGAATATTTATTTTAAAAAAATATAAAGTTCTAACAGCCAAAATGAATATGTTTTCCTTTTATCAACATGGTATGAGCTTCAGAAATGCTAAGGACAAAAATACAGGTAGAGTTTTATAATTTGGATCTACGGTAATAGTTTTAAAATTTCTAACATTTCATACAGTCACAGTTACAGCTTATCAGGTAAACATTTCCAGAGTTTTAAAATATACAAATTTACTATTGTCTTCAGAATATGATTTACATTAAGATCTGCTTTCTCTTATGCTATCTCTATGATTTCCAGAATGAGTTATACCAACCTAAATGTCTTGAACAGGCTTAGTCTTGGCACATTTGCTTTCATCTCTCCTCGGTCTGTCCATCAGATTAATCAGTTTTTGGAGTAGTATAATTATTACCTTGACTTGGATGATTCTGCATATATGTCCCATTACATCAATTTCTAGTCCCATTACTCTAGATCTTTCATGAAAATGTCTAAATAGACGGGATTCCACCCAAAACTTTAGCAAACTTATCAGTTTCTCCCTCTGCTCTTAAAATAGTTCCCTTTCCCAGTCTAGTGTTGACAATTTTATGAGTCACTCATACTTGGAAATATGTAGGGTGCTTTAAATCACCTTTCCTTCCTCCATGACATTTACTCAATGTTGTAAGCCCTGTTATTTGCTGATGAAAATCTCATATAACTAAACTTTCCATTCCATTTCTGTTGCTGTCCAGCCCAGACCTTCATCGCCCTGTACTGTCTTCCTCCAGCCCTCAGCCTGCGACTTCTTATCTGTTCAGCACGGTGTCAGGGAACTCCCCTTCCAAGTCCCTACTCACTTCTGCTGTTTATTGCATGAAATCCACAGCTCTATGGTATTGCTTAATTAATATTTGATTCAGCAATGCACACATAAAGACTGACTTCTTAAAGAATAATAAAAGGATTAGTGAACATCCAGAAAGGGAATGGAAAACAAAGGAAGGAGGAAAATCAGGGCAAAGGCAAAGATAGGATTAATTCTTCCTTGAAGGATGGCTGAGTAAGAATTTAGGAAGTTGTGGGTAGATAGACTTCAGCTTAATATACGGGAATGCTTAAAAATATCTAGAGCTACACAACATGAACTTCTACAAACTAGAAGTGTAAAACAAAGGTTCAGTGTTTAAGAAAAGAATTTTGGCTTTAATTGAGATGCTAGACTGTTGTTTTCTAACCTAAATTTCCATGACTCTCTATCATCCTATAGTTTTTTTGGCAATTTTATTGGCTTCATTAGCCATAGCATCATTGTGGTGTGCTCATACAAGGTGTTCGTCAAAATCAGAACTACAATATGACGTGCTGCCAAGTTCATTCTCTTACATTTTGCTGGCTTGTCACTTGTAACTGGACTGAAATATAGAACAATTATTCAAATATTTGCATAGAAATGCTTACAACTGTACTATTATTTATAGATTTAAAAAAAGGAAAGAATTTACAGTTCAGTATAGACCCTGGAAATTAAGATAAAAACAGCAAGTGGTGGATGGGTGCCGCAGGTGAAAATATAAATATTCTGGTTGGCCTCACTGCCGAATGTCACCAAAAACCGCATGGATGAACAGAGCAGACTTACAGAAAAGGCTCCAGCATCAGAATGGAGGTAGTGAATACAGGAACTAAAATGACAGGAGATAATATAGGATGGCAATTTGGGATAAAATATAAGACTAATAAAAACAAGAAGAATATAACAACCGCTGTTAATTCATATTATTTTGTCTTGAAACCCTGTGTCACTTTACATGTTCTTGCTTTGGTTTGTTTATATCTGTGATGCTGGTATGCTATGATTGTTCTTTTTTTTTTCTCATTTGCTACTCTCTTTAAAATAAAATTTAAAAAAACAAAAATAAAAGTAAATATACATTTACATTTTCACATACAAAATTAAAATGCACCCTTGTTCTCCAGGATTTTTTTCTAATAAGGCTAATATGGTGAGTGCTTATGACGTGGCAGGGAGGGTATAAATTCTTCATTATGGGAGGACTTACTTGGTCCTCCTATGACTCTATGAAGTACTCTCCATTACGTTCTCTATCTTACAAACTAGGATACTGAGGCACACAAAGTGACCTACTCAAAGCTAGGCAGGGGCTAAAGTGAAACTCTGATGGAGTCGCTCTTGACTACCATGATGAACTGTGATATTCAAGATAATCCCATTTCACCAAGTTATTTCACCAATGGTTTTACATAAACATATAAAATGATGAGCATTACATGGGCTTTCACAAAACTTTTACCGCTTGACAGCTACTTAATTCTGTAGGATCGAAAGATTACTTGGCTGAAATAACCAAAGATATATTTTTAGAGATGTTTGTCATTTCCTTGATTAGTTACCAAGAATTAAAAGAAAGAGGTATTTAATTTGTAAATACAATTATAATTAGTAAGCAAAACGTTCTTATCAAATTTGTCATTGTACAGTGTATAAGAAATGACTTTCTGAAAATAGCAAAGTCAAATTTCTAATTTATGCTATGCCATATATTCAAGAACAAGCTAAAATCTGACTATAATTGAAAAACTATTTCTATATAGAGATATATTTAGGAGTACTTTCAGCTGAATGGATTAACTAGTAATTAAAACTAGATTAATTTAGATGTCCATATTTC